AAGGAATTACACAAGTGGTACTTAATTACCTAATGAATCCACGCCTGAATTGAACCGACGCAAATGTGCCTCTTTCATTACCGTTTTTACTTCGGAATTGTCTCACCCAACGTTAAATCCACAACGTTGATGTCGAATCTACGATAATTAGCTACTCCAGAATCTACCAAAACTTTAAGCTCAAATTTTTCGGAATCCACCAAAGAGCGCCTCTCTCTTTTGTGGACGAAATAATAAGAACAACCCTTGATGTTAGACAATCTGTAGTTTGTTGATCAATCGATCATTTTCTATACACCAAGGAAACTCATATAAAACAGTCTCCATTAGAAAACACTTTGTCTTTTCTTTCTCTTTAAGATTTTGGACGGCTTCAAACTTAAAAATAGCAAACGACGCACTTTATAGGAAACAGAGCCGCGACGACCGCTCGAGCGCACACTTCACCCACTACGGGAAATGTTCGTTTTAACGGTGTTTATATAGTGGCGTTTTCTTAAACGTCATCTTTTTTAATATTTAACGGCGTTTTATAAACGTCGCCTTTTGTGCTAATCAAAACGACACCGTTTAGCTGATAGAAAACGCCTCCGAAATGTGTTATAATCTCTCACACCCTTTCCCTCCCTCTTGAGACTCTCATTCTTTACTCTTCAGTCTCAGAAAGAAGATGCCTCGAATCTCTCGCTCACTCTCTCGCTTCAGCTCGGTGATCCCTTAAATCTCAGAGTGATTTCAGAATAGGAATCGATTGGAATCAGCTCGGTGATTTAATTTGTTTACCTATTCCATTTACATAGAAACCACTGAGAGGTAAACCTATCTACATCAAGCTTCAGAATCGATTTCATTTACCGAGAGGTAAACCTATCTGCATCAAGTCGATCTGCATCAAGCTCAGTGATTTTGATTTCGATTTCATTTTTTTTCTCTCTCACTCATTTTCACTCTTCTCTGTCACCAGACTCATCTCTCTCTCTCTCTCTCTCTCCTCTGTCGATCTCATCCATACTTACCGTCGCTGCTGTCTGCTCATTATCACCTCAGATCGATAGCTACAGTGGTAGAAGAGGATGGCGGTGGTGGTGCTCATTGAAGAAAAAAACAAGAGACGAGATCTGAAGGATTTCGAACTAATTAAAGCCAGATCTAAAGGTTTCAAAGAACACCTGATCCAAATATGGGGGTTTCGAATCAGATATGTTGGTAAGCTCCTTCAAATCCTTCCGTTTTCAGTAAAAACCTCTTTTCATCAACTTCTGTATATGTTTGTGTATGTGTGTGTGAGAAAGTGATGAAAAAGAGGCTGTAGTGTTCTTGATTTTCCCTCTTTGTTTCTTGAATTCTATAAATCTCACCAACAACAATGGTCAAGTTTTATGTTTCTGTTCTCTCTCTCTCTCTCTCTCTATATATATATATATATATGTATATCCACATATCCAAGATTTGTATATTTATATATTTGTTGTTTCAGCTGCTGAACAAAAAAATGCTTGAAGAGGGAAAGAACAAGAGAGAGAGAGAAAGAGAGAGAGAGAGAGAGAGAGAGAGTTGTGCTTTTGTTTTTACTTTTGTTTTTCTTGCCTTCTGTTTCTTTTAAGAGGTTAAATGTGGTGTTCATTTCTGTTTCTTGTGTGGTATGAGACCAGAGGCAAGTGGTATCATTGGAGATCTCTGGTATCATTTTTTAATGATTTGGTTTGTTTTGGTGTACTTTGGAGATCTGTCGTATCATTTTTTAATGATTTGGTTGTTTCTATTTCAGCTTCGACTTTCTCTTCTCAAGACTACACAGGGGCATCCTATGGTGAGAGTCCTGCCTTTTGAGAGCATTTTTATACTTATGCAGTCTTTGTTTGTTGGTTGCTGAGAAAATGTAGATGTAAAGAAACTAGGATTGAATTTAAATTATTGCTCTGCTTTGTTAGAAGGAAATATAGGAAACAAAATTTATTAAAATATGATGTTAGGTTTCTCACGATTTTGGCTCCCAAATAGCCAAGAATCTAGCAGCCAACAAGTTTTGGCTGATTTGAAATTATTTTATTATTATTTTTTAAATCATGGAGTTTTTTTGCTTGTTGGAACAAAAAGAACATGAATTGTAGGAGTTAAGAGTTGAAATTTAATTTATTATTTTCTTAGGAATTTCCAGTAATCGCATGGAGGGTCAGGTTTTGAGAGTTTAAGTTTGTCAGATTAGTTAGTAAGGGGTGGAACATGCAGTATGATTTTTTTTATGCTTGCTCATTATTGGGATGTTTTACACTGCTTTAATCACAGTTGCAACAGGTACTCAAAAGTTAAGAGTTGAAATTTAATTATTATTTTCCTAGGAATTTCCAGTAATCGCATGGAGGGTCAGGTTTTGAGAGTTTAAGTTTGTCAGATTAGTTAGTAAGGGGTGGAACATGCAGTATGATTTCTTTTATGCTTGCTCATTATTGGGATGTTTTACACTGCTTTAATCACAGTTGCAACAGGTACTCAAATTGTAGAAGAGGAGGAGTTGTAGAAGATCGCTAATCTTCCTTTAGGCACTCTTGGATGACATTTTCTCGGCGAAACCATCTCCTTCATATCCTGTGCTTACTCAGACCACCCTGAGACCTTTATGGACCGACGTCGTCACATGTATGTCTATGTTTGATAGAGTTTATCTGAGTTCTTTATTTTTTATTTTAAGAATCTATTTTAGATTGTTTAGACTTTTACTAATAGTCAAGAGTATAGATGAGGCTGCTACCATATTGTTGCCGCAGACCCCTGACAAGATGAGGGAGTTGGTCCAGCTCACGTTTTACAAGCCGCCCAAGATCCTGCCTTCATGCGTCCTCACCGATTTCATTCGAGTAAGGTCTTCAAAACTTTATGCTCCTCATACTCAGACTCATACTGCCTAATTCACTTGTTGGAAACTAGGATTGTATGATTTTGTTGCCTTGTCGAGTCTATAATTAGTGTTAGGTGGGTTCATATATCTTAAGTCGGAAAATGCTGCAATCATTTGCTGCTCTTTTTACAGAGCCTGACATGGAAATTTGTGGATGACAAGAATTGTAAGTTTGTAATATACCTCTGATTATGCCATCATCTATTGAATGTAAAAGTTCATCAAATCTGTGGTCATCATTATTATTATTTTCTTCTAAATTTGGCTTAGTTTCTTGGTTAATGCATTTTTTCCATTTAAGATGAAATCCCTATCATTTAGTACTGCAATTTTGAGGTTCTAATGTAAAGAGGAAAGAAATTTCCCTCATAAAACAAGTGCTGAAAATCAACAGCAGTGTGCTAAAAATATGTTGCAGAATGCAGAAAATCTATATGCTGAGATTAAGGAAAATCTTATAATGGACTCCATATTTATCATGTGCTTTTGTGTAAGTGACCAAGATTTCCCAAAATTCAGTTCTCATAAATTGTTTATACTGTTATCCCTCAAGAATAAAAAACTGTAGGCATAGCAAAATATCAATTATATTGGACAAATATTAATACACTGTTATCAATTGGATTTTGTTTCCAAACATTAAAGGGTCAACTAGTTAGCTTCAATTCCAAAATGGTATGTAAGATAGAGAGAGGGAGAATATATTCGAATTTAGAATTTTACCCTCTTTTCATTAGTGAACCAACAACATTTCTGTCATTTTTATGCTCCTTGTGCTCTGTCTAATCAGATATGGTTGTATAATAATTGAATCCCCTGTATTGGTATCTATCCAATTTTTATCTATTTGCTTCTCATTAACTCACTCTATTATAAGATTTACCCATTGTTGTTGTTGGTGGTGTAATTGTTGCTTGTGTTCATGTTATAAAGCTCTAGATGGTGTCCATCTCAGAGTCAGATTTATCAGATATTTTGATATCTATGCTTAATATCCCAATAACATGATTTCGTATGAATTATTGTACCTGATAAACTAAGATCATAATAACTATCCTTAATAGTCCAAAGTAATGATGAACCATATTACATACACAGTAATTATGTTCCCTAATCCTCATTAATATGTTAGTAAGAGTAATAATTATGTTTCTAAACCCTTAAAGATGTTACTTATACTAAAGAAGGTCCATATGTTCTGTTCAGATTGTTTTTCAAGTACTAGTGAAGGCATTGGTTAGTACAGCAATTATGAATTTTCATATGCCCTCTTGGATGAAAATTCCTTCGTATTGACTGGGATTTGGGAATATATCCTGCTCAAAATTGTCTCTGTTGTACATGAACCTATTATGATTAATTGAATACGAATCCAAGAGGCTATTCTGCAGTGTAATGATGTGTAAGCTGCTTGACTATTCCATTGCATCTGCATGTGCAAGCAAATGACTTAACCTCAAGAGAGTAGTGGAACTATAAATAATTTTTCAAAGATAAAAAACAATTATTTGTGTTTTTTACTGACTTAAAACATAATGAAACAAGAGATTATCAACTTAAAACATGAAGAACAAGTATTACTCATTTTGACACCCCCAATAAACATAGATCAAAACTGGTTGGTGTCCATCTTAAAAAAAATGGAAGGAAAAAAAGTATTGCTTAGGTGGCTAGAATTACATAATTATGCTTTCCTAGGATGCTGTTATGTATAATGTGTGTTTATTAGCTATTATCATTCAATGAGTCCTCTCTCTCTCTTTCCACTTTGAAGGATGGTCTTGGGTTCATATATTTTTCAAATGTTGGGGTTTTCTTGTCAAAGGTTTCCCATTTGTCAGCTTCTACATTTTTAAAATGTTTTATTTTTCTAATTGGTGGTAGGTTACTTCAACTGCAGGTCCCAAGTTTGGCTAATGCTGACTTTGCAGATGTGCGAGCTATCATGGAAAATGCAGGGTCATCTCTAATGGGAATAGGAACTGCAACTGGTAAATTAAGTGGATCTTTATTTGCTGACTTTTTTCTATTTACCAAATGCTTTATAGATCTCAAGAAAGGAGCAAAGGAGGTTCAAGAAAAGAATGGGTTACTTCAACTACAGGTCCCAGGTTTGGCTAATGTTGACTTTGCAGATGTGCGAGCTATCATGGAAAATGCAGGGTCATCTCTAATGGGAATAGGAACTGCAACTGGTAAATTAAGTGGATCTTTATTTGCTGACTTTTTTTTATTTACCAAATGCTTTATAGATCTCAAGAAAGGAACAAAGGAGGTTCAAGAAAAGAATGAAGATAGAGCTAATACGGGCTAATACGAGAGGGAGGATTGAGTTCTTACTTGCATGATATTTTCGGAATTGCTGGTTTTCTATTATTTTTTTTTTCTGCTTTTAACTTTATTTTTCTGTTTAACGTCTGAAATTTCTGGTTTTTTCTCATAGCATGATCAAATTAGGAAGATGAGGAAAGTAGACCAATTTTTTTTGGGTACAAGAAAGAAGTTGACCAATGTTAGTACACTTTAAAAAGCATGTCATAAAGTAATGCAACATGCTCATGCAGATATACTATACTTAATAACAGAGCAATATCAGAGTCTCTTATGCCATTCTTTAACCCTAGCACTCTTGGACACTCATACTTACCCATTACAACGCAACCCCAAGCACTTGACAATGGACTCAAGTTTAGTCATATGGAAATTGCCTCACTACCTAAATCCTACAACACAAAGATATGTAAAACATGACTTACAATAATACTTATTGATGGCTAGCATCCCATGGTCAATAAATGAAAAATTACCAAAATATGCATAAACTCTAAAACCTAGACAGCATAAATAAAATTATAGCAGTTGCAATTAAGAAGCACAAACACTGATGAGAAGTACCATGCCCATGGATTTTTATCTATTATTCCCTTGCCGTTTAGAATTTTGACAACTCGCAACTCTGTATCCACTACTTGCCAAATGAGATTACCATTATTTACGGTCGAAGTATGAAACCCTAATTACTTGCGTGACCTTTTTTTTGACATGCATGCCTATATTGATAAATTGTTGGCTTCTTATTCCTTTGCAGGCAAGACCAGGGCAAGAGATGCTGCATTGAATGCCATTCAATCACCTTTATTAGATATTGGTATAGAAAGAGCTACTGGGATAGTCTGGAACATAACTGGAGGAAGCAATCTCACTCTATATGAGGTAGGCTTTTATTCATTATTTCAACTTACTGGGAATTCATGCACATTTATATGGGGCCATAAGTGAGGCTGTCTAACTTTTGTATGTTGTCACATGGATCCCAAGAATCATATGCTTGAGACCAATAGGAGATGCAAAATGCTTTGTTTCCTCATGTTGATAAATTTGCAAAAGTTTTCATTCTTCTTAGAATTTAATGGCAATAAATTTTTGAAATTGTTTAGTCAAGATGATTTTTGTATTGATGCTTTCAATAAATGATGGCATCAGATGATGTTTTTCAATCCTTGTTATGGAAATGATGAGCTTTGAGCAGCTACTCAATTTTGCTCTTGGTAGTAAGTGAATTGTGTGATCTCTTCCTTTTGCTTTTCACCAAATATAGGCCTTGGATGAGTGCAGTGAGAACCTCAAGAAATATTTCAGACGTTTGATAATATTATATGGACCTGAAGATTTTGATGTTTACAAGTGAAGAGAACTAATTAGAAAATGAATTTCCATAAGTCTTTCCCCCTGTTTGTTTGTTATTAAAATCCCGCGCCCCACTTTTTTCTTTTCTTAGCTATTTTCATTGGCATGAACTGAACTCCTCCCAAACCTTCCAAATTATAGGGAAAAAAAGAAAAAGAAAAACTGAAGTATGCTATATTATTCTGTTTCTAATAAATAATTGATCACATTATTGTTGTGTACCTTTGTTTATGTCTATGATTATATCCCAAGCACTATTTCAGACGTTTGATAATATTATATGGACCTGAAGATTTTGATGTTTACAAGCGAAGAGAACTAATTAGAAAATGAATTTCCATAAGTCTTTCCCCCTGTTTGTTTGTTATTAAAATCCCGCACCCCACTTTTTTCTTTTCTTAGCTATTTTCATTAGCATGAACTGAACTTCTCCCAAACCTTCCAAATTATAGGGAAAAAAAGAAAAAGAAAAACTGAAGTATGCTATATTATTCTGTTTCTAATAAATAATTGATCACATTATTGTTGTGTACCTTTGTTTATGTCTATGATTATATCCTAAGCACTGTTGGTTGGTCATGTCATGTGATTGTATTTTGCATGAGTGTTTCTACCTGAAGGGAGGTTTCTCCATCATTTAGAATATTTTCACTAGATAATGCTTTGCTCCGTCGCTTGCTTATGTGGATGTGGCTTGGACAATTCACCATATATCTCTATATTATGCCTTGGGCACAAGTATATTTATGTTCCACTGATTTTGGTCTAAACTTTTGAACATATTTAAGGGTTTAGAAAATGTGGTATGGACATATCATTTCATGATCCTTTTGGCTATTATGAAGTTTCAGTGTTTTATTTGTCTTTGGAATTTCAGGATGATGCAGTGAAGAACCTAGTGACTAAGTTACACTGCAAAAGCTAAGCTTGATTTGGTGACACAAGCAAAATCCAAATTTGTTTTGGAGAATAGCAAGGTTCATATATTAAATTCTGATTTATATAGCTTGAGTGGATGTACATAGATACTAAGGGTAGAGTTTTTTTTTTTGTCATTATTATTACTGTTTATTTTTTTACTGACCTTTAAGTGTTTTGTATTGCCTGAAGAGTTAATGTTGCTATTAAGAGAGAACTTCACAAACCCGAGTCTGATCGCTCTTGCATACATCTGGAGTTCGATATATTTTTTCTTTTTATTTTTTGATTGTGTTTGTTGTTTGATTTTGGTTTAGAAATAATCATGTAATGTTTATTTAATCAATATATTGAAATAGCTGTAAAATTTTATTCTTATTATTGTTATTTTTCAGCTTTATTACAGGTATATAACAGATTTAGGACAATTTCAAAAAAAAAAAAGAAGCTATAGTGGCGTTTGTAAAAACGCCGCCTATACTAATTTAGTCATATTTTTGAAATAGAAAAAAATCTATCACGGCATTTTTAAAACGTTGCTAAATATTGGATGACATCATTTTTACCATTATTTATTGCATTTAGTGGCGTTTTTAAAAATGCCGCCTATACAAATTTAGCGACGTTTTTAAAAACGTCATAACGTTAGAGCGACGGCCGCATCTTTGGTGTTTGATACTAAACGCCACAAAAAGCATTAGCGGCGTTTTTTTATACTTTTAGCGGCATTTTTTAAACGCCACTAAATGCAAACTTTCCAGCAGTGACCACTCGAGCAGTGTGAGTAAAGACGGTACGAAACATATAGGCCGATTGCTCAAACGCAACCTTTTCACCACTTGAGTGGTAAAATTTTCTTCCCAGAAGTTCAGGTGCTTTGCAAAAGTACTGGATGATCATTTTTCCTCTCGAGTGCACAAATGATCCCTCGAGCGGTCAAATAACTTCGGTTGCATTTTTACTTCTCGTACATAGTCAGCGAAGTGACAAATATGAAAGGATTAAGATCATAAATTCCTCTGCATAAACACAATTCGTGTTGGATTCAACCTAAATACTCATAGCCTCATTAAAACAAAAGAGCGAATAAAATTACAATTGAAAAAAATTTTGTCAAACGGGATTGCCAATTACAAAAACCTAACAAAGTGTTTTATAGTTATTGTTTAATATTAGAAAGTAAGTAAATTTTTTTATAAAAATATTAAAAAAAATATAGATTTTATTAAAAATAGATTAAAATTAGAGCAAATTGTATTATATTATACAAATATTTTATCTTTTACTTGTAGCCCCGCTAATTAGTATTTTTTTTAAAAAAAATATGTTCATATTATAATAACTCAATAAATTATAATTATTACGAAAATTAAATACAACTTGTAATGATATTAAAAAAATTCTCAAAGTGAGAAACAATTCTAAACAAATACACAACGAAAACGGGCATACAGATGGAAAAATTTAAATTTCTAACCCTTAGTAAATGCAAGAATTTTGATATAACCTTGTTGATTAATTATTTGGTTCTCTATTCATAGACAATTTGCTCTTGCGGGTCCTTTATAAATTCATATTCATAAATTTACTCGTATAATTAATGGAGAAATATATAACACATAGAGTAGCCTATGACATAGTTGAGGGTTAATATTGAATAAATGTAATTGTTTTAAAAATTATTTTATGTGACATAATTAAGAGCAAGATTAAATATATTTAAGAGTTAGTATTGTGTCTCAAATAATGTTGCGCCTTGTGCAATTTTACTACCCTGCGCAAGCGCGGACACACACACACACATATATATATATATATATATAAGGAAAATTTTGCAATACACATTTCATTTTTAAGTGTACTATATGTAACTTTTTTGTAGTACTACTTTGTTTATATTGAAATCACTTTCAGTCATAACCAAAAGCACTTTGTTTATATTGAAATCACTTTCAGTCATAACCAAAAGCACCGCAATGGATTATCGAACATCAACGGAAACATAATCAAAGACTATTTTAGTTATAACTAATATCACAATAAATTATAATATACATATATATATATATATATATAAAACTTGTATGCCAACTTGGCTTATTTTGAGAAGTATGTTAAAAGTCAATTTTTAGAATTTTTTCTTTTTTAAAAACGTGTAAAAAAATAAAGAGGTAATGTAACTCAAAAAAGTCAAAAAGTCAAAAATTAATTTTTAACCCAGATGCCAAAATAGGACAGAAAGTCATAATTAGACATATATAATACACAAAAATAAAATAAAAATGTGTATTGTAAAATTTGTATTGTTTTTCTCCTTGTAAGAGCATCTCCAGTAAAGATAGTCAAAATAGCTATTCAAAATTTCACTTTACTATTTTAGTTAGTCATTTTTTTAATATACACTCCAACAAAACTATCTACTTTAGCTATCTTTTATTAAAATATTCTTATACTTTAGGTATCTTCTATTAAAATATTCTTAAAAACAAAAGTTTGAATTAAAAAAGGATAAAAAAAATTGAGAGCTAGTGCACAGTACCTCGTCTTTCCTAGCGAGGTACTGTAGCAAAATGTTGGTTTGGCTTCACAGTAGCTAGGCTGCTGGAGAAGGAATTTATGATTATTGGCTGGCTATTGTACAATTTTTGGTGAAATGCATAGGCTGCTGGAGATGCTCTTACATCCTTAGAGTTATCTTTAAATATCATTATTTTATTTTATTTTCAATAATTTGGAATGGCTTGATATTGTGTACCTGCATAATCAATCAATCATATGTGATATGAATCTTTAAATAACATATCTTTTTATAATAAAATATATTTTCTTTTCAATAATTTGGGATGGCTTGATATTGTGTACTTAAAGTACCATCACATAATAATATAATTTTATAAATTAAATTTAGGCATAAAAAATTATTTATTTATTATTAATAAAAATAAATCAAAATTTTATAATAATGTGAAATAATTCGATACGGAATGGTGATATAAGTTTACAATTTTAGCACAATTAATTATGAAATATTTATAGCATAAATTATTATAAAATCTATTTAATTTTTATTTGACATAAAAATAAAAAAAATATGACATTGTTTATAAATGATGTGTTTTGAATAAAAATTATTAAACAATCTTAGAGTACTATATGACATTGCCTACATGATACTCAAAGTATGAAAAATTACAAATCACACTAAGTGATTTGTCAATTACCTGAAAATAATGAGTTTATTATATTCAATTTATAAAAAATTTCACTACATTATTAGTTTAAATTATTATATGAATAATATCACATGACGCTTCCAAAATATTAAATAATTACTTATTGTAAATAATACAATAAACTTTTAGAGTTCGTTTGGGATGTGAGTTGACTTTTTGATTTTTTGATTATTTTAGCCTAAAGTTAAAATTCTTCGTTTGTGATAGATTTTTTTAACTTTTTTAACTTTTGTAAGAGATCCTTTCTTGAACCCTCTCCTATAGAAAGTAAGTTAAAAATTAAATTTTTAATTTTTTTTTGAAAAAATATGTAAAATAGTAGAGAAATGATCTGATCTAAAAGATATTAAAAGCTAAAAAAAGTGATTTTTAACCTCTTGCCAAAAGAGATATCTGATATGCTTTGGTGTTGTTAAAAAAACTTTCTTTTTTTTGTTTTTGTTTTTGTTTTGGGAATAAGTTAAAATATCAAAAAAAAAAAAAAA